CCAGCAGCATCAACAGCAACAGTATAGCCAGCAGCACTATAACCAGCAACAGCAACCGCAGCAGCAGCAGCAGCAGCAGGTGCGCATGAGTGAGAGGGAGTGGCAGCAGCAACGGCAGGCAGCAGGCCCCATGAGCCGCTCCTCCTCCTCGCCGGGCATACACCCCCACGCTGCTGCTGCCTCCCCCGCCCTCTCCTCCTCGCCCTCCCCTCTCCACCTCCCCCACCACCACCTCCCCGCCGCCCCCTCCTCGTCGTTTTCCTCCGCTCCACCTGGTGCTGACTGGACACCGCCCCCTGCTGACTGGACGCCGCCCCCTGCTGACTGGACGGAGCGGGCGGCGGATTCCCCGGTGATGAAGCGCCTGCAGAACGGGGCACGGGCGAGAGGCACTTGGGAGGAGGAGGCGCAGCAGCGGGGGGCGGCAGGAGCGGGTGGCAGAGTGCAGGGCGGGCTGGAGGAGGAGCTGGGGGCGAGGTGGCAGGGGGAGGGGCAGTGGCGGGCCGGGCGGCAGGAGTCGTATGGGAGTGGGAGTGGGGGAGAGGCGTACTGGGAGGAGGGGGGGTCGTATGGGAGGGGTGTGGTGGTGAATGAGAGCCGTGTTGCTGATGGCCTCGTGGCCCAGGCTGAAGTCACTGCCGGCCCCATCCTCCCCGGCCACTACTGGTACCACCCACCCACCCACTCATGCCCGCCTCATGCTGCTGCCATGCCACCATTCTTTTTCCGCCTTGCACGGTGCCCCGTGAACCTTGCACCTTGCGCTTTGCCTATTGCGCCTTTCACCGTGCATTGACACACACCGTGCATTGACACACACCGTGCATTGACACACACCTTGCATTGACACACACCGTGCATTGACACACACCTTGCATTGACACACACCTTGCATTGACACACACCTTGCATTGACACACACCGTGCATTGACACACACCTTGCATTGCCACACACCGTGCATTGCCACACACCGTGCATTGACACACACCGTGCATTGACACACACCGTGCATTGCCACACACCGTGCATTGACACACACCGTGCATTGACACACACCGTGCATTGCCACACACCGTGCATTGACACACACCGTGCATTGACACACACCGTGCATTGACACACACCGTGCATTGACACACACCGTGCATTGACACACACCGTGCATTGCCACACACCGTGCATTGACACACACCGTGCATTGACACACACCTTGCATTGACACACACCGTGCATTGACACACACCGTGCATTGACACACACCGTGCATTGACACACACCGTGCATTGCCACACACCGTGCATTGACACACACCGTGCATTGACACACACCTTGCATTGACACACACCGTGCATTGACACACACCTTGCGTTGACACACACCTTGCATTGACACACACCTTGCATTGACACACACCTTGCATTGACACACACCTTGCATTGACACACACCTTGCATTGCCGCTGTCCTCGTGCCGCGCCTCTCACCTGCGGCACCGTGCCACCCACCATTCTTCCGTCCCCCTCTCTCCCAGGTACGACCACAGAGCTGGCTTCTGGGGGGTCGTGGGCGGCCCGTGTCTCGGCATCATCCCCGTAAGCCATTCTTGAGGCATCATCCCCGTAAGCCATTCTTGAGGCATCATCCCCGTAAGCCATTCTTGAGGCATCATCCCCGTAAGCCATTCTTGAGGCATCATCCCCGTAAGCCATTCTTGAGGCATCATCCCCGTAAGCCATTCTTGAGGCATCATCCCCGTAAGCCATTCTTGCTCCCTTTTGAGGCATCATCCCCGTAAGCCATTCTTGCTCCCTTTTGAGGCATCATCCCCGTAAGCCATTCTTGCTCCCTTTTGAGGCATCATCCCCGTAAGCCATTCTTGCTCCCTTTTGAGGCATCATCCCCGTAAGCCATTCTTGCTCCCTTTTGAGGCATCATCCCCGTAAGCCATTCTTGCTCCCTTTTGAGGCATCATCCCCGTAAGCCATTCTTGCTCCCTTTTGAGGCATCATCCCCGTAAGCCATTCTTGCTCCCTTTTGAGGCATCATCCCCGTAAGCCATTCTTGCTCCCTTTTGAGGCATCATCCCCGTAAGCCATTCTTGCTCCCTTTTGAGGCATCATCCCCGTAAGCCATTCTTGCTCCCTTTTGAGGCATCATCCCCGTAAGCCATTCTTGCTTCCCTTTTGAGGCATCATCCCCGTAAGCCATTCTTGCTCCCTTTTGAGGCATCATCCCCGTAAGCCATTCTTGCTCCCTTTTGAGGCATCATCCCCGTAAGCCATTCTTGCTCCCTTTTGAGGCATCATCCCCGTAAGCCATTCTTGCTCCCTTTTGAGGCATCATCCCCGTAAGCCATTCTTGCTCCCTTTTGAGGCATCATCCCCGTAAGCCATTCTTGCTCCCTTTTGAGGCATCATCCCCGTAAGCCATTCTTGCTCCCTTTTGAGGCATCATCCCCGTAAGCCATTCTTGCTCCCTTTTGAGGCATCATCCCCGTAAGCCATTCTTGCTCCCTTTTGAGGCATCATCCCCGTAAGCCATTCTTGCTCCCTTTTGAGGCATCATCCCCGTAAGCCATTCTTGCTCCCTTTTGAGGCATCATCCCCGTAAGCCATTCTTGCTCCCTTTTGAGGCATCATCCCCGTAAGCCATTCTTGCTTCCCTTTTGAGGCATCATCCCCGTAAGCCATTCTTGCTCCCTTTTGAGGCATCATCCCCGTAAGCCATTCTTGCTCCCTTTTGAGGCATCATCCCCGTAAGCCATTCTTGCTCCCTTTTGAGGCATCATCCCCGTAAGCCATTCTTGCTCCCTTTTGAGGCATCATCCCCGTAAGCCATTCTTGCTCCCTTTTGAGGCATCATCCCCGTAAGCCATTCTTGCTCCCTTTTGAGGCATCATCCCCGTAAGCCATTCTTGCTCCCTTTTGAGGCATCATCCCCGTAAGCCATTCTTGCTTCCTTTTGAGGCATCATCCCCGTAAGCCATTCTTGCTCCCTTTTGAGGCATCATCCCCGTAAGCCATTCTTGCTCCCTTTTGAGGCATCATCCCCGTAAGCCATTCTTGCTCCCTTTTGAGGCATCATCCCCGTAAGCCATTCTTGCTCCCTTTTGAGGCATCATCCCCGTAAGCCATTCTTGCTCCCTTTTGAGGCATCATCCCCGTAAGCCATTCTTGCTCCCTTTTGAGGCATCATCCCCGTAAGCCATTCTTGCTCCCTTTTGAGGCATCATCCCCGTAAGCCATTCTTGCTCCCTTTTGAGGCATCATCCCCGTAAGCCATTCTTGCTTCCTTTTGAGGCATCATCCCCGTAAGCCATTCTTGCTCCCTTTTGAGGCATCATCCCCGTAAGCCATTCTTGCTCCCTTTTGAGGCATCATCCCCGTAAGCCATTCTTGCTCCCTTTTGAGGCATCATCCCCGTAAGCCATTCTTGCTCCCTTTTGAGGCATCATCCCCGTAAGCCATTCTTGCTCCCCCTCCTCGCACCACCCACCTATCACCCTCCTGCTACCATCGCTGTCACCCCCCTGCTACCGCCTCCTGTGAGTCGCACCACTCCCATCCCAACCCCCCCCCCCCCCCCCCTGGCACTCCCGTGCGCGCGTGTGTGTGCATGCAGGCGCGTCTGCCACAGTTCCCAGAGGTCATGCAGCGAGAGTGTTCGGGCGGCAGGACGGGAGTGGTGGTGAACGGCAGGGAGCTGCAGCGCCGCGACCTCGACCCTCTTGTGCGCCGCGGCGTGCCAGCGGTGCCGCACCGCGCTTACCTGTTGGACCAAGACGGCCGCGTGCTGGACGCCGCCTCCGGTGCCCTCGTCGCCAACCTCGGCCCCCTCGCCCCCTCGTGAGTGGCTAACTCGTCGCAGGGTGTTTTTGAGAATTCTCAAAAACACCCAGCGGTGCCGCACGTGTGCTCGACGCCGCCTCCGGTGCCCTCGTCGCCAACCTCGGCCCCCTCGCCCCCTCGTGAGTGGCTAACTCGTCGCAGGGTGTTTTTGAGAATTCTCAAAAACACCCAGCGGTGCCGCACGTGTGCTCGACGCCGCCTCTGGCTCCCTCGTCGCCAACCTGGGGCCCCTTGCACCGTCGTGAGTCTCCCTCACACACTGCCGTGTCGCTCGGCTGTCACATGCTCATCCTCCATGCATGCAAGCTCTCTTTGCAGGATTCGTTTCCACTTGCTTACTCTCAACGTAGATGATGTTTGTTGTAAGGTGACTGTGCATGCTCCAGATGCAGCTGGCCCCTGCTTCTCTCTTTTGAGTTGCACCATATCCTCGTGCTCCCCCCTTCCCATACAGGCTCAAAACTAAGCGAGGGAATGGCATGTTCTCTCCACAAACAAACTGATTATTGGCTTGTGTTTAGAATGGGTCAGAATCCAAGTGTTTTGTGTAGGTTGCCCCATCACCTTGCAGTTGAATGAAGCATTTGCGAGCAGGCATATCATCTTCTTTCTTGTAGTTTTGCAATGTTACCTTTAACTAAAAATATGTACCCTATACGTATCACACTTGGATACACTTGTTCCGAACTGTTCTCGACGATGCGCGGGAAATTTACCCCTCGTGAATCAAAGCGCGACGCGGTCAGTACTCGAGGGGTCCCCCTGGGCTTGCGCTGGATCAGATTGTCAAATCCCGAAGGTTGTCACCGAGCCGCATGGGAAGGGGCGGTGGCAGAAAGCGACCTGACATGTCAATGTCGAGGCGAGGTAAAATCCAGAATTCAGTCAGACATTTCTTTTCTCCCTCAACCAACTCCGTTCTGTTTTCAAGGCTCCACGATTTCAAAAGGCCGCCACTTGGCTTGTTTCCACTTTAACTCTGGTTTGTATCAGTAGATCGGGCTTGCTAGCTTGCTTTTGTTGCTGATGTTTCTATAGATTTGGACGTGATGGCAGCAGCATATACGTCAGGTAGATACGACGGATATGGCGTTTCATTTGATTCGCGATCGGGGTATTACGAGACTCCGCAGCGAGAAAGAGACGGCGCGATGTCTGCCTCGGACGAGGAGAGCCGTTATTGCAATCTTAAAGCGGACGCGCAGGTAGGAGCATGGAACGCATCAGCAGATCCAGCGGGACCATCGCCATCCTTGGCAAAGGCAGCGTCGTGGCTCATGCGCAAAGGCAGCCCGCCTGTCAATGTCACGCCGCCCGGCCTTCTGCCGGCGTCTCCGTCTCGCAGCTCAGACGGCCAACCGTCCGCTCAGTCGGTAGACCTCGAGATGGACGGCGGGGGGCCGGCAGCGGAGCAGCCGGTGGGGCGGTCAAGCGCCGTGTGGCTGCCTCTGCCGTCGCCGCGCGTGCAGGAGGAGTTCGCCGGCTTGGCAGCGCAGGAAACGAGGCGGCAATCATCGGGGGTGGTTGCGCGGAAGCAGCAGAGGAGCGAGAGCAGAAATGTTCCCTGGACGTTTCACCAGCTGCTTCAGGCGGACGCGGCAGGCGAGGAGCGCGTGGAGGCGGCGGAGCAGAGAAAGCAGATCCCACGGCGAAAGTCGCTCGAGACGAGAAGGGTGAGCAGAGAGGCACGTGCTCGACAGCAGGACAAGGAAGTCAGGGCGGCGGCGCGCGATCACTCGCTAGAAAGAGTAGCGCGCCATCGATCAGCGAACGTGGATCGGAACCGTTCGATCCAACTAGGTAGCACGCGAGAGGCGCGGACGCGTTGGCCGCAACGACGAAGCGCAGCTGAGCGTCGCGCGGACGACAAGGCAGCGGCGAGTTCGGACAGCTCGTCCGACAGCGAATGCGAAAGTAGAATCGAGGGCGCGCGCAGGGGGCAGGAGGGACGCGAGAGGAACGGAAGAGAGGCGACGAACGATAACCCAGTGAGGGCCATGAGGGAAGGAGGCAAAGCGACAGATTTCCGGCACGACGGGCTGGGGGACGCCGTGGGAGAGGAGTGGGGCACGCGAGACGAGGGGGTGGAGGTAGAGGGGCCGGAGGACGCGGGGCGTGATATTGGCATCTTGGTGATGGGGCACCCCGTGCTGCCGCACGACGTGCCTGCGCGCGTCGACGCTGAGCACTGGGAGAGCCAGGCGGCGGGAGAGAAGGCTGCGGGAGTGCGCGAGGGGGAGGGGGGGATTGAAGGCCAGGTTGAGAACGAGGGCGCGGCGTTGCGGTTGGCGGGGTTACTAACGGACGACATGCTGCAGTGCAGCTTCATGGACCCGGGCAAGCGCGCGCTGGGCCTCGCGCACGACGACGACCACGACGAAGCTGCGCATAACCGCCGCGTGCGCGCCAGCGCCAATGATCATTTGCACGAATCGACTCATCGGACCAGCGAAGCCGCCCTCTCACACCACCGCCTCTTTCCTCCGCGCTCCGACGCCTCGCCTGCGTCGGCGCCCGCTCTTCACAACTCCTTGCCGAGCGCCACCGATGCCCCGCGAGGCGGTCTCGTGTTTGGCGTGCCCGTATCCGCCCCGCTCCTTGCCTCCTCCGCTTCCCTGTCGGCCTTTGCCCCCACCGCCAATTCTTCCGCCACTTTCGGAACGCCCGCGGTGACACGGCTGCCGCTGTCGGTGCTGCAGCACGGGTCGCTCGTGTGTCTGCTGGCCGGCTCCTCGCGACTGGCGGCCGTGCGCTATCAAGGAAGGTACGTCCGCCAGACTACACGCCGTGCCGCGTGGGATAGACGAACGCGCGTGCACTCTGCTTCCTGACGCCTACGAAGCCGAGTGGCAGCACTTGCAGGCACGGCCGCTTTTCCAATTCATTCGATCTAATCGTAGCTTTCCCTTTTTCCCGTCCTACCCGTTGCCTCGTGCCATTCACTGACGGCTGGCCGGCAGGTGGGAGCTGGGCACGCCGACGCCGTCATGCGTTGACGACGGCTCCAATGCCCTCGCGGCCTCTCCGGCCGACCCGCTCCGCCGCTCCGCCCACGCCGCGTCGCTGGCCGTGTGCGCGTCGCTCACGGGCGGGCTGGGTCGCTGGCCGCTGGACTGCCTCTTCGTGCTGCTCGTCGTCGCGCCCGCCCGCATCGCGCTGCGCTCCCTCGCCGCCGACGGGCGCTGCCTCTCCGCCGCGCTGCTGCCCGGCGAGCGCGACTCGTTCCGCACCTGGTGAGCGCCGCGTGGGGGGATCTTGGGGGAAAAAGGAGGGCGTGTGGTGGGGGGGGGGGGGGGGGGGGGGGGGAGGAGACGGGAAGTGAGATGGGGGAGTTGTGAATTGCATGTTTGTGCATGGGGGAATTGAACTGCCTCATGTGTCGTACGGCTCGTCGAACCCCACGTGCCACTCACTCCCTGCCGTCTCACTGCTTGCCGTGTGCGCCGTGTGCGCGCGCAGGTCCGTGGGCGACGCGGAGACGTGGGAGGTTCTGCCCGCCGGCACCGTGGGGGAGGGGGCGGCGGCAGCAGGGGAGGAGGGTGACGGGAGTGCGGAGAGCGCGGGCGGGTGGAGCTGGGGGAGGGATGGCGTGGTGGAGGGCGGAGTGCTGCTGCGCAGCTGCGCCAGCCCCGCGCGCGTGCTGGACGTGGCGCTGTTCGGGCTGCTCGCCAAGACGCTCTCCGCGTGGCGCCACGTGGAGGCCGCCGCCGCCGCTGCGCCGCTGCTGCACCACCAGGTGAGTGGGGGCGGGAGCGGGCGAGTGAGGGCGAGTGAAGGCGAGTGTTGGGGAGTGGGCGTGAGGGGTGCGGGGGCGATCTGCCGTGTGCTTGCACGAGCTACGTTGTGTTTTGCGGTTGTGTGCTGCCGTGAGTCGACGGGTGTTGGCCTATCGTGACGTGTGCTCATGCGTTACCGTGTCTTACCGTCTGTCGCCGGGTGTCACTATGTGTTGCCATGCGGTGCAGGTGAGGCAGTTACACCATCGAGCGGGCGAGGAGGAGGCGGCGAGGCGAGAGGCGGAGGGGGCGATGGAGGAGCGGCGGCAGCGGTGGGAGGAGGAGAGCGCGCGCATGCGCGCGGAGGCGGACGAGCAGCGCGACACCATTGAGCAGCTCCACGACCAAGGTACGCCCGCCCTCGGCTGCTCTCCGCGCCATCAACTGCTCTGCGCGCGGTGCTCCGTGCACTGCGCGCGTCCGCGCTGCCATGTGTGAGAATTTTCCAACGTGAAGGGCACTGCGCTGCGCTTTGCTCCGCTCTGCGCTGCTCTCACCGCCACGTGCCCTGCCGCCGCACTTGGCGTCGTTCGCTTCTCTCCCCTCGCTCTCGCGGCCCTTCCATTTAGCCCCTCAACCACTCTCACTCTTCTCTTCTACGCATCAACCCGTTGTCCCCCTTCCGCGTTGTCCCCCTTCCGCGTTGTCCCCCTTCCGCAGTGAACTCGCTCGGCGCGGATCTCGAGCGCGCCGTGGCGCTGCTTGAGGCCGCCAGGCCAGCGCTGAAGGGGGCGCGCGGAGGGCCGCAGCGGGAAGCGGAGTGGGCGGAAGTGGATAGCATGGGGAAGGCGACTGGCGCGGAGGGCACGGGAGGCAGTGCGGGGAGTGAGGCGAGGGGAGGCGATGGCGGGGCACCGGCGGATGCGGACGACGAGGGGGAAGATGCTCGCAAGGCAGGGTGGGCGGACGCGAGCGGCGGAAGCGGCAGTTTTACTTCCGCCACTCCCCATGGGCCCCCCAGCCGTGCGCCTCCCACTCGCGCCCCTCCCGCCCCCGGCGCCAGTCACGGAGCGCCGCGGGAGGGGCAGCGCGACAGCCGCGGCGGCGGCAGCAGTGGCGCTCGCTCTCCCGTCACCAACGGCAGTTCGGCCGTGGCTCGCGCGCTCTCCGCCTCCTCCGCCTCCCCCTCTGACTCTGAGTCCGACTGCGGCAGCGGCGCTTCCCCCGGCCGCCGCAGACCCCCGTACGTCACTGCGGAGCAACCGCAGCTCCGCGCGCACTATCGGCCAGCCAGCGGCGGCGGCAACAAGTTTTGGCAGGCGGCACGATCGGCGGGCAGTAGGGGAGGCGCGGAGACGCGGAACGAGAGCGATGCGGCTTCGGTACGGGCAGAGGGGAAGGGTGGCTCGCACGGCGCGCAGGGCGCTTCAGCCGTGGAGTCGGGCGTGTTGCTTCGCCGAACCTTCTCTCCCATGCGCGGCCGCCGCAGCCTCTCGTCGTCGAGAGCGGACGCGGGCGCAAGCCGCGGGGTGGGGGACGGCGGGGGCGCAAGCCGCGGGGTGGGGGACGCGGGAGGCGCGAGAAGCGCGCTGCAGCATGTGATGGGGAGGGCTGCGGGGGCTCCGGGGGCAAGGCGGACGCGCGGGGAAGAGAGCGCGGAAGAAGGGCGGCGGGGTGCGAGGCATCCCGCGAGGGCAAGAGAAGAGCGTGAGGGGACGCAAGTAGGGGCAGCGGGGGGCGGAGAGGAGGCGGTGGGAGTTGGGCTGAGAGGAGAGGGGGAGGCTCGCACGCAGCACGGGGAGGGCGGAGAGCGGATGGGCGGAGGGGGGGAGGGAGCTATCCGGGGTATGGCGCAGCGGGCGCAGCGTGGGGGCCCGGAGGCGTGGGTGGCGGAGCATAAGCGCGTGGTAGTGCTGGAGGAAGTGGCGGCTGGCGGAGAGTTGGCGCGCTGTGAGGCGGAGGAGGTGAGAGGGACGAGCGCCGCGAGTGGGGGGAGCGAGCCGAGCGGTACGAGCGGCGCGAGTGGCATGAGCGGCATGAGTGGGGTGGACGAGGAGTGGGAGGAGCAGTGCACGGAGCAGGGATGGGTGCTGCGCCCTGTGTCACGTGCAGGCGCGGGGGCGGGGCCAGGGTTGAATTCACAGGCTCGCTCGTATGGCGTGTGCTGCACTGCGGACGATGACGTGGCGGATGACGTGGAGGATGAGGTGGATTCGGAGCAGGTTCGGCAGTCACAGCAGCAGGCGCGGATGGGTGGGAGCGCGGGAGAGGGCAACGGGGAGAGCAGTGGGGGGAGCGGAAGCGACACTGGGACGGGGTCAGGTAGGGGCGGTGCAGCAGCAGTGGCAAGGCCAGCGGCTGGGGCGGGCGCAAGCGGTGGGATGGTATGCAGTGGGGCAGCAGCTCGTGCTGCTCACACGGGCCGTCAAGGGGGGCCTGGCGCTGCTGCTGCTGCCGCTGCTCCCGCTGGTGCTCGTGCCACTGGTGCTGCTGGTGCGAGCAAGGGATGCGCACGGGGCTCCACAGGGGGGGCAGGGGCACAGGCGCAGGGGGCGGAAGGCGGGGGGGCAGGGGAGGGGGCGGGAGAGGAGCCCCCCTCCGCGCTGAAGCAGCGTGTGGCGGCCCTGCGCTCGCGCGTCTCCGCCCTGCGCGCCACCTCCTCCTCCCTCCTAGCCCCCGCTCCTGCCACCGCTGCTGCTGCCGCTGGCGCCGGTGCTGGTGGTGGGAGAGGGGCGGGTGGCATCACTGCTGGGGTGGCGCAGGGAGGGGAGCAGAGAGGGGAGAGTGCGCGCGTGGGGGAAGTCCAGGGCGCAGAGGCTAGACGGGGGGGGCTTCCAGGCATACAGGAGGGCGGCAGTGAAAGGAGCGGCAGCGACAACAGCAGCATGTGGGGCAGCGGCAGTGCTGGATACAATGCCGCCATTCCCACTAGCTTGACACACGCCGCTGCTGCTGCTGCCAGAGGCCTTGTGAGTGCGACTCACAGGCAGTTCGGTGCTGGCAGCCGGGCGGATGGGCGGCAGGCAGGGTGGCTGGACGGTGGGAGTGAAGGGAGGGGTGTGAGGCAGGGCGGGAGGGGCGTGGAGGAGGGGAGTGGCGGTGGTGGTGGGGAGAGGTGGGCAGGTGTGCTGCGAGAGAGGAGTGGCAATGTGCCGGAAGGACCACCCAGGGAGCTCAAGAAGACTGCCAAGGCGCCCGCAGCAGCCCCAGCAGCAGCGGCAGCAGGGAGAGGTGGGCCAAGGCCAGGCCTTGTGCCAGTGGATCCGGGGGAGCGGCATCTGCAGTCGCTGCTGCCCATGCGCGTGCTGGTGCGGGAGAGGGCCTCGCAGCACGGGGGAGAGGCGGCAGGGGCGCAGCAGAGCAGCGGTGAGGGCAGTGTGTGGCACGTGGGCATGGAGCAGAGAGGGGCAGTGGGAAGGGAGATGCGTGTCGCCGGCAGGACTCTCTCGTCCACCTCGGCGTCCTCTGACTCACACGCCCTCCCTGTGCTCCTGCACTCGCCCCGCCACCCTTACAGCAGCAGCAGCCCGCGGAGTGCGAGTGGAGGGTCGAGCCCTGGCCTGGGCTTGCTCACGCGCTTCCTCTCCCCCTCTCGCCGCTCCCCGTCCCACCCTAGCCACCACCAGCACGCACAGCAGAATCCACAGCAGCAGCAGCAGCAGCAGCAGCAGCAGCACAGGGGCACACAGTCAGGGGCTGCAGTCCCACAGGCAGCAGCAGCAGCGGGCGTGCGGCGCAGCAGTCAGGGCAGGCAGGGCAGCAGCGGGCGGGCGTTGTCCCCCTCGCGGCGGCTGTGGGCTGTGGGGCGGTCCACAGAGAGGCGCACAGAGGAGCGGTATGGGGGGCGAGGGCAGAATGGGGCGTGGGGGAGGGGCGCAGCAGAGCAAGCGCAGGAGGATTCAATGAGCAGCACAGGAGGTGAGTCGTGCATGTGGCGATGTTGAGGCATTCTTGAAGGTACCTCAGAGGCAGCGGCATGTGTGCATGGCTGTCTGGGCATGTGAGACGCTGCTGCTGTCAGAATGAGAAATGCACTGTCCTCATCCCCATCACTGTTGCTCCTCCTGTCTCTGCACTGCACCCTTCCCACCCCTCTCTGTCTCTGCCACTGCTTCTCACTCTTATCCTTCTCATCCCCTTGCCTCTCCCTCCTCTGCACCCCCCTGCGCTCATTGTATCTCCTGTTGCTCTTCTCCCTCCAGGAGTGTGCTCGTAACTCCACGCTCGACTAGTGTGCCTGTTTTGTGTGTCTTGCCAATTTTAGTCAGTATTTGTTGGGGGTTTGAAACGCAGCCACAGAAATGGCATTTTTATGCAGACTCTTCCTTTTTCTAGCCTTTTTTTTTTGGCATGTTTTTTTTTTCTTTTTCCAGCCTATTACGGTATAAGAAATACTAACAGGGACTGACTTCCTAATGTACTGTAATTCTGTAATTCATGTCTAGTGTTTGTCCTTAACCAATGTGGGGGCCTGTTTCCAAGTTTGCTCTAGATCACAATGTCCAATTTCGTTACTCATCCTAAGAGAAGGCGGCCACACAGCAGTTCAGTTGTCTCGGCTTTATTGTATTTGAGAGCTACTTTTATACTGGATTGCAGTTCTCATCCTAAAGATAATCAAAATCACAGTTCAAGAAGAGCAGAGATAACCAAGAGCACCTATACCGTAGCAAGCACAGCGATTGCTCGCTTGCTTGGCCTTGGCGTGGCAGGGCAAGAGCGAGGCAGAGGCAAGGGGCGCTTAGGCGAGAGCCTTGGGCTTGCTCTTGGAGTTGAGCTGCACCTTCTTGCCCGTGGGCGGCTGCAGGGAGAGAGGGGGGCGGGTAGGTGGGATGGGGAGGGGTGGGCAGAGATACGTTGGGAGGGCGAAGGAAAGCTGAGGGAAAGGCGCTGGGCAGCAGGCAGGGGCGGGAAGAGCAGGGGAGGGTGGAAAAGGGTGTGGTAAGGCAGGGTGGGGCAGGGCAGGGCAGGGCAGGGCAGGGCAGGGCAGGGCAGGAGGAGGGCACTTACAACAGAGAGCTCCTCCTCGTGCTTGGCAATGAAGCTGGTGTCCACCTTGCCCTCCTTGAACTCCGGCACGTCCAATATCAGCTTGTGGAAATCAATGGTCGTCGGCACGCCTGGAGGGGTGGGATACACGGGCAGCAGAGAGTGGGAGACGAGCGGGTGTGAGGGAGGCGAGAGAGAGAGAGAGAGAGAGAGAGAGAGAGAGAGAGAGAGAGAGATGAGAGAGAGAGAGAGAGAGAGAGAGAGAGAGAGAGAGAGAGAGAGAGAGAGAGAGAGAGAGAGAAGGGGTGTCCACCTTGCCCTCCTTGAACTCCGGCACGTCCAATATGAGCTTGTGGAAGTCGATGGTCGTTGGCACGCCTGGGCGGGAAGAAGACAAATGGGCAGCATGTGAGGGAGAAGAGCAGGTGTGAGGGAGGCAGGGGAACAGGTGGTGGATCGGTAGCGATGGAAGAAGTGGGGCTCAGTGGTATGGCTGAAGGGTTGAGGGGGGAGAGGCGCAGTGGTGGTGGTACCCAGATGTGATTGTAACAAGAGAAAAGGGGCGCAGAATGCATGCATGAGATGGTAAGGGAGAAAGGGGAGCAGTGGGCGCACCTGAGATGATGGTGTCGTGCAGTGCTCTCTTCATCCTCTCAATGGCCCTCTCCCGCGTGGGCGCCCACACGATCAGCTGCTCGCCAGCAGGATGATTCACGGGGAGGAGTGTGGAGAGGGAAGGAGTGGGGAGAGGGAAGGAGTGGGGAGAGGGAAGGAGTGGGGAGAGGAGAGTGAGAAGGCAGGCAGTGAGGCTAGATGGAGGCAGGGAGAGTGACGAGCAGCACAGCAGGCTGGATGGAGGCTAGCTGCTTGCGGAGAAGCGAGTCAACGCAGGTACCCTACCCACCTTGCCGAGCAGGGAGTCGTAGGAGGGCGGCACAAGGTAATCATTGTAGATGTGGCTGTCCATGCGCACAAACGGCCCTCCGGGCGGCAGGTACGCGGTGATGCGCCCCGGGCCAGGGCGGAAGTTCTGGAAGGGGTCCTCGGCGTTGATGCGGCACTCGATGGCGTGCCCGCGCACGGTGATGTCCTCCTGCTTGTACCGCAGCTTCTCCCCCATCGCCACGCGGATCTGCTCCTCTATCAGATCCACTGACGTGATCATCTCCGTCACCGGGTGCTCCACCTGCAAGGGGAAGGGGAGGGGGGGGGGAAGGAGGGGTACGGAGAGGGCGGGGGGGAAGGGGAGATGGCAGCGTGGAACTGGGGTGTGAGTGGAAGGCAGACAGCAGCACACGTCATGTCATGGAAGATGTATGAAGACAGCCTGGTAACTGGATGCCAGTACACAATGCATCTGCTAGTTCTCAACTCTAAAGGAACAGGTTGGGTGATCAGTCGCCTAAAGTGTTTCTGCTTGTTGTCCAAGTGCCCCTGTCTCCGTTCCTGGATGCCCGTGTTCACCTTTCAACCACATGCGCTTGCTTCTCTTCCCACCTGCATCCGTGTGTTCCACTTTTTCACCTGCATCCCCTGCCCCTGTCCCCTGCGCTCACCTGGATGCGAGTGTTCATCTCCATGAAGTAGAACTCGCCCGTCTCAGCCAGCAGGAACTCGATGGTGCCCACGCCCACATACCCAATGCTCTTCGCCGCCGCCACCGCCGCGTCGCCCATCGCCTTGCGGATCGCCGGGGTCAGCGCGGGGGACGGGCCCTCCTCCACCAGCTTCTGGTTGCGCCTCTGCTCGGTAGGGGGGGAGGGGGAGGAGGGGAAGGGGAAGATGGGGGACAGGGGGGTGGGAGAGGGGGGGGCAGCGTGAGAAAGGGGAGAGCAAAGGGGGGGGGGGAGAGGGAGCGGGAGAGGGGGTTGATCGGGACAGGACGAGTGCGGAGGAAAGGTGTAGAAGGACGTTCGGACAGGCACGCAGAGTGAGATCAGATTGACAAGTGCAGCAACAGGGTGTTTGCCACGTATGTGCAGGGCACGCGAGTGTTAAGATGCTCATACGCGCAGCACACGCCCTCCACACTCACACCCTCCTCGCCCAATGGTCTCGCAGCGTGCCCAGAGCAGGGAGAAGGAGCGTACCTGGATGGAGCAATCGCGCTCGAAGAGGTGGATGGCGTTGCCGTACTTGTCCGCCAGCACCTGGTGGCGGGGGGGAAGGAGGGGGAGGAGGGGGGAGGGAGGGGGGGGAGGGGAGGGGGTGGGTAAGGGAGGAAGGGATGCGAGGGGCGCAGGGGGGATGAGAGGGTGTGAGAAGAGCATGACGGTATGCCAAAGAAATTGTTTGACAGGCGACAACCCCACCCACTGCACACACATCTCTCTGCCCCTCCCTGGCTTCTCCTTGACCCAACTGCGCAATTTAACACCACGTGGCGCCATCTTTTTCTCGCTGCCATTGTCACTGCGATTGCTCACAACTGCAGTTGGACCCCCCACGCTCTCTCAAGCAGCATGCCTACGTGCCTCCGCACACATCCACTTCTCCTACCCGCTGCACCTTTCCGCAGAACCGCTAACCACCCCCACCTGGAACTCGACGTGGCGCGGGCGCACGATGGCCTTCTCCAGGTACACCCCGTCGTTGCCGAACGCCGCGCCCGCCTCCTGCCGCGCTTGCTGCTCGCGCCGAATACGCGCACACGGGGGAGCAGGGGGGTTGCGGGGGCAAGTGGTGTAAGCGTATTGGGAGAAAAAGCCCAAGAAACTGGTGTATGGAGACCTGAGGTCGCTAAAGTACAAGTTCTGGTTTCTTGCGAAAGCAGTCAAAGGACGTCTGTGAAACAGTAGAACACAGAGGCATGAGCGTCACATTCTAGATGAGGCGCAACACGCTTATCCCATCTCATGCGATGGGCGCATCGCCACGCCATGCAGCCCAACCGACCTGGTAGAGCTTGACGAAGTCCTCCCTCTCGAGCACGAGGCGCATGCCGCGCCCTCCGCCGCCCGCCGTGGCCTTGATCATCACCGGATACCCCATGCCGTCCGCCACCGACAACGCCTCCTCCACCGTCTGCACCGGAAGGGGGGAAGGGGAGGAGGGGAGGGGGGGAGACGGGCGGTGTGGGTGGTGGGGAGCAGCGGGTACTCTGGTGCCAATTCCATGGTCGTGTTTGTCACTGTATGTGCATCCGTGTTCGCTAGTAAGTGTGCGAGAACAGTTGAGTGAGAGTGTGCATGTGAGAGGGTGCATGTATAGTTGTGCGCGTGAGTAGGTATGCTCATCAATCGTCGCACTCACGTCGATCAGCCCTTCGCTGCCGGGCACGGTTGGCACGTTGGCTCGTCGCATGGTCTCGCGCGCCGTCGCCTTGTCGCCCATCAGGCGGATGCTGTTGGGCTGCGACACATACAGCAGTCGCATGGCAGTCGCATGGCAGGAGAGGAAAGGTGAGAGCATTACGGAGCGAACGGGGGAGGTGGAGGAGAGATGAAAGCGCTGGTAATTCATGGTGCTTACTGATTGGACACCATGCTCCGCCTTAAACCCCTCTTATCAAGGTCCCGCAGCAGTCATGCTATTTGAAATCGTGTTACCTTAGGCCTTGCATGAGTCCAAGGCTCCCGCAGCCCGGCCACATCACCCCACCACCCTTTTCCCACCGCATTTCACCCCGCGCTACCCCACGGCACCGCGCGGTACCGCACCTTGGGGCCGATGAAGTTGAGGCCGTGGTCGGTGCAGATCTCGACGAACGTGGCGTTCTCGGCCAGGAAGCCGTAGCCTGGATGCACCATCGTGCACCCCGTGCTCACCGCCGCGGCCACCAGGTTCGGAATGTTCAGGTACCTGCCAGCGGCGAGCGCGGGGGGGCATCGCGGGAAACGCGCATGGAGAAAGGGAGTGCGGAAGGTGCGATGCATGAGAATGGGTCCCACACACCATGGGTGGCGCTGATATGGAGAACGCAATCGATGGGGTGACACAGCGACGCCTGGTGGCGGAGAGAGAGACGCGGACACTCACGAATGCGCGCACGGGTGAGTGGCGGCGGAACTCACGACTGCGCGGAGGGGGCCTCGCCGATGCAGACGGCCTCGTCGGCGAGCTCGACGTGCAACGAGTTGCGGTCGATGGTCGAGTACACCGCCACGCACGGGATGCCCAGCTCGTGCGCCGACCGGATCACGCGCACCGCGATCTCACCGCGATTCGCCACCAGGATCTTCTCTTGACACGTGGCGCCCAGCGCGCCTCCGCGGGACTTTCCGCCGG